TATTCTCATCAATGAATATGATCCATGTTCAAGTAGTTCATTCATTGAAGCAGCAGCACCACGTTCCTCCTTCACCACTTATCCCCAGGGTCTGCGAAGACAGTAGCACATGGGAGGCAGTTGATGAACAGCTCCCAAATGAATGAATGAATGATAGAGGAACAGAGCTGAAAGTCTCACACAGGACTATCTGACCCCAAAATCCATGCTTTTCCCACAATACCCATGGCAGCCCTGGTCTAGTTTTGCTTTAGCTGCCGGAAACAGAATGTAGTTCTTGTCTTGAAGCAAGCTGTGTATTTAGTACTGAGTTTATCATAGTAGACTGTTCATGTTAGTTACTAGTTATGAGGTCTTATATGGCTCGCTCAACAACTCTGAATCTTATTTCCATTTGTAAAGTAAGCCCATTCTTGCCTATCTTCCACATCTGTTTAGAAGGATAAATGAAAACTTATAGGACAGCATTTATAATTTGTAGCATCAAATAAAGTTATTATCATTACAATATTGAGAAGAAATAAGAGAGGAAGGAAACAGAGTAGGCAAAGAAAGGAGAAGTAGAGGAAAAAGATGATGGTGTTGGGCAGCATGGCTTAGAAGTAACTTTCCAGTCCAAAACTTTGTGATTTAATAGAAAAATAGAAAGCAAAAAAAAATTATCAAAATTTTGTACATCAAATGTTGTACATCAAAATTGCCCACTTGTCCAAGAACAGGATTCAGAATCATTTGTGTCTACTAAATAAAGGATACAATTCTATTATTTTTATTTTAAAATACAATTTGCTACATTGAAATCTCTTTTAAGAGCCTCTACTTCTTTCAGTCTTTTAAAAACACATAACAGTAACTTTGTTACAGCATCATTTAAATCATGGTCACAATTTTCTTTTTCTCTATCCTTGTTTCAAATCCTGTTCAAGAGCCCCAAGAAGTCACATAGCTTTGGCCTTAGGTTGGCCACCTCTATGCTGACTGTGGGAAGCAAAGCAAAGGGTCATCACAACCAGCTCGTACCACACAGTAGCAAGCATGCTATGCACAATTGGGTCCTTAAAGGACCATCAGTCCAGCCAATGCCCATAACTTCAAAACGAAGCCACGAGAATCTTCAGGGGAGCAACTCTATCTTAGATCCATTTCCATAGATGGAAATCTGACCCACTGCAGATCCTCAATAAAGGCTGAATGAAGTATATAAACAAATGGTCTCTGGTCTCCTTTCTAAATACTGTATTTGTGATATTATGAGCTACATATATAAAATATATACCTATACATATATGTGTGTATATAAATATATAATTTACACATGTGTGTATACATATGTGTTGGGTGTGTGTGTGTATTGGACATAGAGTATACACACATACCCACATACATACTCCAGTACTGTACATCCAATATACACACACACACACATATAGGTTTCTATCCACTGTTCCTGGTTCATAACTTTCATAGCCCTTGCTATAGTCTTTTGTATGTTGGTGCATTTTAGGTCTCAGGAGTTGAGCCAAGAGTTGTAAGACCTTCATCCCAGGGAGGGTCCTGCCCCATACCCTGGAAGAAGGAATGCTGCATGGAGAGGCCTGAAGAATCTGGACAGGCCTTCTTGGCTTTCCCCAATCAGTCTATTAATATGAGCTCAGACCCTTTCTGTCCAGTCACATTTCAACACTGTTGTCCATGCTTCAGTCATGCCTAGCCAATGAAGTTTCCATAAAAGGCCCAAGAGGACGGGGTTCAGAGAGTTTCTGGATAGCTGAACTCAAAGAGGTTCCTGGAGAGTGACGCATCCAAGGAGGGCATGGAAGTTCCAAGACCCTTCCCCCATACCTCATCTTATGCATCTGTATCCTTTGTAATATCCTTTATAATAAACCAGTAAACGCAAGCAAGTGTTTCCCTGAGTTCTGTCAGCCTCTCTAGTAAATTAATTGAATCCAAGGAGAGGGCCATGGGATCCCCTATTTATAGCCAGTTGGTCAGAAGCACAGGTAAAACAACCTGGGGCTTTCAACTAGCATTGCAAGTGGCAGGGAAGAGGGGGTTAATCTTGTGGGACTGGGACCTCAACCTATGGGATCTGACACTATTTCCAGGTAGGTAGTGTCAACACTGGACAGGAGGACACCTAGGTGATGTCCACTGCACAACTGACTGCTTACTTGGTGTTTGGGGAGAAATCCTCAGACATTTGGTCACAGGAGTCTTCTGTGCTACTGTGTTGTCGGTGATGTTGAGATAATGAAAAAAACACAGTTTGAGTTTTATTCTCCAACACAATACTGTACCTCCAATAATGAGGACTCACCCTCCTAAAATGGTCCAACCCACATGCGGGAAGCTTTATTAGAAAAAGAGCATGTGTGGCTTGGGCAAAGAGTAGGGGCTTCATGGGCAGATGGACTTGGATCTAAATCCCAGTTTCATTCACCACTTCTTAGCCATGTGCCTTGCATATGTCACTGACTTTCCCTAGACCTCAACTGCCTTGTCTTTATACAGGGAAGATGGCACAGTGGTCTGGGCTGGCTAGAGGAGAAGATGCCAGGTCTATGGACAAGTAATGGAAGAGAATGATGGAAATGTGAGTTGAGACCAAATTAGTTCAGTGTACCCACCAGGCAGCATTTGCCTTCTGTTTGGAGAGGCAATGTAGGAGCATGTTAAAGGCACAGAGCTGGAGGCAGACAGCTGGGCTTGGATCCTAGCTGGAATGTTGAGCAACCAACTTAACCTTTCTATGCAATCATTTACATATAGGTAAAAAGGTGATCATCATAGCACCTTATCATAGAGTTGATGCAAGTATTGAGTAAATCAATACTTCCAAAACACTTAGCACCTGAATTATAAGAAATCACGCAATAAATGTTAGCTATTACAGTGATGATTATTACTATTTCTGCAATCAATAGGCCACTGAAAAGGTAGTGATAAGATCACTGCTTCTCAGATGTTTGATTGCATTGTAAGGTGTAGGATAGACAAGAGCAGAGAGATGGTAGGCCAAGAAACTAGTTAAGAGGTCACTGCAATTCTAAGCGAGGGGTGCTGAGTACCCAAAGTTGCAAAGATAAAGAAAAGAAAATGGGAGGAAATAAGTCAGATGCTAGATATGTCTGAGCAGTTGAATCAACAAAACTTGGCCAAAGTCTTGATGTGGCTGGTAAGAAAAATGGAATAGCAGAGAAGATAAAAGAATTTTGTCTGACTGGGTGTGGTGACTCATCCCTGTAATCCTACCACTTTGGGAGGCTGAGGGCTAAGGCAGGAGGATTGCTTGAGCCCAGAAGTTCAAGACCAACCTGGGCAACATAGCAAGGCCTCATCTCTAAAACATAAAAAATAAAAGAAAGACTTTGTCTGAAAATGTATCAATTTTCAAACTAAGGTGCCTTTTAAAGTTATCCTAAGAAACTAATTCTGTCTTTTCTAGATTGTGAGCTCTTGATCATCTTGTTATACCCAATGGTCCTTGTACACAGCAAGTATTCAGAGTTTCTTGAGTGAGTAATCCATCAAGATATAACATCTGTATACAGAAAAAAAGTAAATACGGCGCTTATCCACTTGTAGTATCTGCTGTGTTCTGGATTATGAAAAGGCCAGCCGTACTAATTTGTAAGTATTCAAAGTAGCATGTTTTATAGTCCCACTAACTGGAGAGGGACGGACTGCCTCCAAAGGAAATATGTATGTATTTAGACAAGAAAATTATTCATAATACCTATATTCTCCATTTATTTAGAGTAGGATTTCTCAACCTTGGCAATATTACAATTTGGGACTGGATAATTCTTCCCTGGGAGAGGTAGGGGGTCACTATCCTGTGCATTGTAGAGTTATCTACAGCTATCAAATTTTCACACATATCTGACAGATTGGATTTGAACCCCCTAACAACCCTGCAATGAGGCAAGCAAGGTTTTCATTCCTGTTTAACAGGTGAGCAACTTCTAAATATTGCAAACGTTTGTTTTCTGTTTTAAAAGATAAAAATACTATATTTGATGTAAACAAAAATGCAATTGCCTAAAAAGGCAACCACATGTTTGACATTCACAAGATCATGAACCCTCCAATCCCACCTCTGGTATTCACTTATCTGGGCCCTTTCAGGAGTGACTTCACCCTCGAGGCCTGTTGCTTTCACCTATGAAACTTGGTGTTTAACCAGGTGAGCATGAGGTATCCTCCTAACTCTAACACTATAATACCCTGATCCTGTATTAGGAAACTTCAATTTCACCCACATTGCCTGCAGGCGACTTTTAACCTACTTGCCATGCTGCGACTCTTACACAAAGCAACTGATGACAAGCCTTGGATGACAGGCCTCACGGGCAATGCCTTCCACCTGGATGGCTACCTGGTTGCAAAGACTTTAACAACCAATCCCATTTCTCCTACATTTTTACTCCTTCTGCCTGAAGCTTCGGACTCAACTTACCAAGTGCAACTAGGAAGGAAGGGGCAACAACCAAAAGAAACCAGTCACTAAAATAGCAGGGCCCTTCTCGGCAACCCCCGACACTCACCACCCTGCACATCCAGTCCTTTTAAAGTTCTGTTTCTTTTCCTCCTATATCCAAGCCCCAAGATACCGTCCCTCCCCCACCCCCAGACCCCCATATGCCACGCATTGGAGAGTGAGGATCAACGTCCCTTGCAGACCTGTGCACGGGCCTAGGAACCAGCTTACCCACGTTTCAACTGTCATTAACTTCTAACTAACTACATGCCCCACGGGGCCTGACCTGAGGCTGAACTCCTATGACTTTCCAACTCCCCTGGATCTGCACGCAGTCACTTGGAGGCACCGCCCCTGCGCTAGCTCCAGGGCTTGAGACAGGGTCGGGGCGGAGCTCTCCCTGAGCCGGAGAAGACCCGCCCCTGTCCCTTCCGCGACTGCCGCCCCGCGCTCCCTGCGGGGAGGTCGACCCCGGCGCATTCTAGGCCCCGCGGTGCTCCAGCGGGTTGGCCGCTACCTGGTCCAGCAGCCGGTAGATGCTGATGCCCGAGGTCTCCACTAGAAGCTGCCAGTCGGCCCCGGCCAGAGCGGGCTGCTGGAGCTCGGCGCAGGCCTCCCGGAACTGCTCCCCCGAGAAGCTGCCCGCGGCCAGCTCCATCCTTCCGCAGTCCGGGCTCCTCCGCCTGGAGGACAGGCCGCGGACACCCTTGTTGTGGGCCTCGGGGCGGGGCGACCGAGCGACCCCAGCGTCATTGACAGGAAACTGAGGAGGAGGCGGGGCCTAGACTGGAGGAGCGGCCTGAGGGTGGGGCCCTGGAGGGGCGGGCCTAGAAAAGTGGGCGGGACTGAGCAAGGAGTGAGGAGGATAGACAAGAAGTAAAAGGAGAAAAATTGGACTTGATGTGGGGAAGGAAGGAAGAGCTAGAGAAGTGAGGAAGCTTTCAGAGGGAAGGGAAAAGGAAGAGGAAGGGAGACAGTGATGTCACCTCAAAAACACCTCCTCAGTAGCCCATCTCATACTCCCTGTTACCCCCATAATCTACAGAGCTGTTTGAGTGTCTCTCATTTACCTTTCTGAATAAAGTAAAGAAAGCCTATTTGGTAGACGTGAGAGGAGAGGTGGGCAGAGTAGAAATGCTGGAAAAATCCGAAGGGGTCAAATGCCAGAACTGTATTTCAATATAATTTCTCTTCTTTCTGCTATACATTTTAAAACATTATTCTGAGACAAGGTCCATTGGATTCACTAGAAGACTCAAGGGGTTCATGACACCAAAACAGTTTAGAAACCTAATCCATCATGGATCTACCAGGTTGTTGCCACCCTAGAGGGTAGAAACTGATCAGAAATGTGTCATACTAGGTGTCATACACCTATGATTTCTGCAACTTGCATAATTTAGCTCACTGTGCAACTCAAACATCTTCCTGTTTCTTTGAAGTCCCTTGGGTAATACTGTATTTCCCATCAGCAGACTGTACTACCTGACTTTGAATAAAGTAGGTCGTTTAAACATCAAAACGATGTAACAGCCACATGAGTGCCAATAAACTCTGAAAACTCATGTTTCCTAATCTGTAAAATGGGTCAAGAATTGTGCTACCAGTTACAGCTGAGGAGGTGGTTGGACAAGGAATAATTTTGCACAGTGCCTGTCCAAGGAAATGTTCAATAAAAATTTCCACTTGTTTTGCATTACTGTATTGAAATGTTTTTCTTTCCTTACTTGAAAGAAAGTTGATGGCAAACTCTTCATTTATGCGAATTTCCAGTCAGGCAAATGATCACATTTGGCAGCGTCCTTAGTTAGACACAGCTGAGATAAATAATTGCTTTTCTCAAGTCAGTCCTGGTTCTGTTTTGTTTTATAGGTGTGGAAAGAGACATGTGAAATTTTCCTAGACTAAATGCACAAAAGTTTAGACTTGACATACTTTCCAACTGTTTTATAATGCCTTGTCGATTTTCTATGTTTTGTAAATCTATATTTTATTTAAATAGAAATTCATTGCTTGAAAAAGCAATTGTGTAAAAAAACCTATTGGCTATGAAGTATTTTCAAGTATCTTCAAGGAATACATTGTAAAGGTTTGATTTGATAAAGCTGTATTGCTGTATAGCAATAGACTAATGGAGACAAGCATAACAGCACAAACGACATCATGCAAGATATAAGGCATACAATTCAAATTGTATTTATTATATGTGTTTAAAAGTGTGTTGCCTGTTAAACTCAGGAGAAAAATAAATATACCCTTGAATATGCTGAGATTTACACTCAATTATTTTATTACAGTTAATGAAAGAATAATGTTAGGAAATATTTTATGGTATCTCTAAAGTCTAAACACAGCTTGGAAAGGGATCCAAGAAGGCCTGTTCTTGAGCAATTGCCTTAATAGCCTGTTTCCTTTGTGAAAAAAAAAACTCTGAAAGAACTTCTGGCAAAATGGCAGCTGATGCTCCTGGCTTCAAACATGGAAATGTTGGTGAAAACGTGTTGAAAATAGTTGTAAATACATAACTTAGCTGAAAAGTGAAAAAGGGTACTTCCAGGTTTCAGCAAGGGAAGAGAGAATGAAAGTCAGCGACACCAGCTCCTGGATATTCTTAGAATGGATGACTGGTCCTCACCCCACCTCCCCATGCAATGTTTCCCCGTGGAAGAACTTCCATTAGGGAAATATGTTTGGCCTTACTCATCTGCTCAACTCCTACTCTGGAGAAGATGAGTGATTTAAATGCAGTCATGCATTGCTTAACAACAGGGATATATTCTGAGAAATGTGTCATCAGGCAATTGCATCCTAAAGCATACATCATAGAGTGCACTTACACAAACCCAGATGGTGGAGCCTACTACATATGTAGGCTATATGGTACAGCCTCTTGTTCCTGGGCTACAAACCTGTACAGCAGGTTACTGTATTGAATACTGAAGGCAATTGTAACACAATGGTATTTGTGTATCTAAACCTAATTAACATAGAAAAGTAAAATAAAAATATGGTGCTATAATTGTAAGGGACCATCACCATCTATGCAATCCAACATCGACCAAAATGTTATTATGGTATGCATGACTATAGTTGATGAGTTTGGGAGAAGGGACTACTGGTCATATCTAGATCAACCCTTCTGGCTCTTCCTTTTTGGCAACTGTCTACTTGTAGAAAATATGCATTCTCATCTGCCCTAGGTTATATAGTAGACTCAAGAGGACAGGCTCTGACACCAGAATCCAGGTTTCCTAATGATGCCTGTGCCTGGAGGGCAAGTTTGATTATAGGCAGAGTGTTATAATTCTATTGTTGCCAAAAACCCAAGCCCTGTTCTCCAAGCAGCTTTATTTGTAATAATAGTGAAATGCTGATCCATTGTCTGATTAGCATCTACCTTTTATTTGATTCAGAATGCAAGTGGGGAAGAGAAGAGCATTGACTTTGAAAAATAACTAAGTAGACCCTCCATAAATAGAAAATATAGTTATTAAAATTAAAAACTTAGAAGAAAGGTAAAAGAGTTGCCCTACCACAGTCAAGAGAGATCAGGGAATAAGAAAGTAGCTGTGGTGAGTAAATTCCCCAGGAAGCAGAACAAAGGTATAAAGAAACGGAAAACATGAAAGAGTAATTAAGAGACATGAAGGACACATTGAAAAGGCCAAACACTTCTGACTGAAGCCCCATAAGTAGAGAATAAAGAGGCCAGGGGATGGGATGGGTGGGGTAGAATACAGAAATAAAAAGGCATATATAAAAATAAAGTAGAACTAAAGTTCTAACCTACAGAAACCGGGAACAAGGGAGGGCAAGGTCAGAGTTGTGTTTAGGAGGCAGATGCAAGATATTAACTTCAGTGGTGTTTAGTTTAACTGTGCATATTAAACTTTAAGGATATGAACTCTCAAAACTCAATGATAAAAACAAAACTACCCAATAAAAATAGGTTAAAAAAATGTAAACACACACTTCACCAAAAAATATATACTGGTGGCAAATAAGAATATGAAGAGATGCTCAACAACGTCAGTCAATAGCGTCCTGTAAATTAAAATCACAATGAGGTGCCACTATAGCTATTTTAGAATAGCTAAAATTAAAAAGACTAATCAAAGCAAGTGTTGGCAAGGATGCTGAGGAACTAGAACTCTCACACATTGCTGGTAAAAATGAAAACAGTACAAATGCTTTGAAAAACTGACAAATTTTTAAAAAGTTAAACATACACTTACCATACAATCCAATCATCATACTCCTAGGTATTCACCCAAGAGAAAAAAATAAAGCATTGTCCAAACATTGACTTGTACACAAGTGTTCATGGAAGCTTTATTTGTATTAGCCCAAAACTGGAAACAACCCAAATGACCTTTAATGGGTGAATGGATAAAACAAGTTGTGATATATTCACCAATGCAGTACAATTCAGTGTGTGTGGGGGGGGGTGGGTGTGTGCAGGTGGGTGTTCCTTGCTCTGTCCATTAAAATGATCTGGTAGGCTAGAAGCATTGGCACATCATTAGCATTGAGCAGACCTGTGGCCCAGTTCTTGGCTTCTATATATCATTGTCTACTAAAAGGTTCTTGGAAAAAAGACTAATTCTAGAACTGGGGCAGGGAACTTCTAAAGTAAGCCTAAAACATGTTGTGCCTGTGAATAAGGAGATGTTCAAAGACAATTAGAGTTATGTCAAAAAGATATGGTAGTTGACTTGAAAGAGTTCCCATTCTCCAAATTTTGGGAAATTTGAGATCACAAAGAATAGTTACAGTAATGGATTATAAAATACTGAATTTATAAAGAAATCCATGTGTCCACAGTGTTACTCAATTTTTTAAAAAGTAGGGAAGAAAAATAGGGAAGGCAGAGAGGAGAAAAGCTTTTTCTTTAGAAAAGAATGCCAAAACATTCAGGTAGAAAGAGTGTCAAAATTTGAAAACTTGCATTCTTTGACCCCCATATGAATATAATTAATAGATTTAGGCAAGGATCATAAATGGATGCTGCAACCACTGGGTGGAAGGGCATGCAGATTAGACTTTTCATTTGATTGCAAAGCATCACTTGTTGATTACTTACTACTTACAGACAGGAAAGTGTAACTTTATAATGGGAAGATCTAGTGGTTGCCACCTTAACCAAGTTATCAATTGCATCACAAATAGTGGGACAACTGACATCACAGACTCCCTGAGGTGATGCAATATCATCTAAACATTTTTGCTAAAATGTCTAACTTGTAACTAATCATAAGACACCAATCGGATAAATCCAGTAAGTGGAACATTTCTCAGAATAACTAGTAAAACAAGTCAATATGAAAGAAACTATTCTAAAAGTCAAGGGAAATAACAATTATGTGTCATGCGTAAATCTTGAATCACGGATTAGGAAAAAGCCATTAAAAGGCATTTCTGGGATAATTGGGGGTATCTGTTTATGCACCACTTTTAGAAAATATTATAAAACTATTGTTAACTTTGTAGGTGTAAAAAATATTATTGTGGTTGAGTGGAAGAATGTTCTTATTCTTGAGAAATGAATGCTGAATCATTTAGGGGTGAAGCAGCATGATACTTGCATCTTACATTCAAATGGTTCCACTGGAAAAAAGTGTGATTGATACATAGACAGAGAAGCAAAAGTGACAAAACTAAATAACTGATAAATTTAGATGAAAGGTAGACAGGCTTTTATTTTCCATTTCTTCAACTTTTCTGCATATTTGAAATTATTCAAAATAAAAATTTAGGAA